ATGAGGCTTTATTGGCACACCACTACGAAGGAGTCACTGAGGAAAGTAGTTCTGGAGCCAGAGCCATGCGTTGAGGTGAGTCCAACTATATCTAGCCAAAACCTCTCAACCTCACCCACAAGCTCTTCTCACAGTAAGGCGACATTCCACGTACTGAAAGCTAGCTTTTGTAGCCGAGGATCAGACTGCCAAGGTCCCTGCCTTCGGTTACCACCCCACACACAATGCACCCGACCCCTTTGACCTCTCATTGAGTGGTGAGCTTATGGAAAGGGGAACCCACGGGCTTTCTTCGGGCTGTGCACGGCCAGGTTCCATGGGTAAAAGCCCAATCAACAGGCGCTCGCCAACATGCCCCAACTCCAGGCCTGACTCCAGAGGGGGGCACCGGTGACCCAAGTCGGGGCTAGCGAACACGGTTTCCATTTGTATTGTTCATCATAAGGGGCCTATGGGCTGCACTTTGTCTGATCCCTCACCTAGGACCTGTTTCCCATGGGTTTGCCATGTATGGGGAGAATAAAGTTTCAAAAGATCTGTGCGTGTGTATTTAGATTTGTGCGTGTGTATCTAGATTTGTGCGTGTGTATCTAGATTTGTGCGCGCGTATCTAGATTTGTGCGTGTGTATCTAGATTTGTAAGCGCGTATCTAGATTTGTAAGCGTGTATCTAGATTTGTGCGCGTGTATCTAGATTTGTGCGCGTGTATCTAGATTTGTGCGCGTGTATCTAGATATGTGCGTTTGTATCTAGATATGTGCGTTTGTATCTAGATATGTGCGCGTGTATCTAGATTTGTGCGCGTGTATCTAGATTTGTGCGCGTGTATCTAGATTTGTGCACGTGTATCTAGATTTGTGCGCGTGAATCTAGATTTGTGCACGTGTATCTAGATTTGTGCGCTTGTATCTAGACTTGTGCGTGTGTATCTAGATTTGTGCGTTTGTATCTAGATTTGTGCGTGTGTATCTAGATTTGTGCGTGTGTATCTAGATTTGTATCTAGATTTGTGCGTGTGTATCTAGATTTGTGCGTGTGTATCTAGATTTGTGCGTGTGTATCTAGATTTGTGCGTGTGTATCTAGATTTGTGCGTGTGTATCTACATTTGTGCGTGTGTATCTACATTTGTGCGTTTGTATCTAGATTTGTGCGTGTGTATCTAGATTTGTGCGTGTGTATCTAGATTTGTGCGTTTGTATCTAGATTTGTGCGTGAGTATCTACATTTGTGCGTGTGTATCTACATTTGTGCGTGTGTATCTACATTTGTGCGTGTGTATCTACATTTGTGTGTTTGTATCTAGATTTGTGCGTGTGTATCTAGATTTGTGCGTGTGTATCTAGATTTGTGTGTGTGTATCTACATTTGTGTGTGTGTATCTAGATTTGTGTATGTGTATCTAGATTTGTGTGTGTATCTAGATTTGTGCGTGTGTATCTAGATTTGTGCGTGTGTATCTACATTTGTGTATGTGTATCTAGATTTGTGTGTGTATCTAGATTTGTGTGCGTATCTAGATTTGTGTGTGTGTATCTAGATTTGTGTGTGTGTATCTAGATTTGTGTGTGTGTATCTAGATTTGTGTGTGTGTAACTCTTGATTTGTAACTTGTGACAAATCATTGAGTACACACACACACACACACACAAAACACCTGGTAAACGAGGACAAAACTACATTACACACAGGGTTTACCCCAGAAAATGAGTTAAGTCCGGCCCCCTTGGGTCGCACGCTCCGTCCCGCAAGCGCTCCTCCGTGAGAGTGGGGTTTGGGGGGGGTTGCACACGTTCCGCTGCTGTTTCTCACCAGTATCAGATGATGGAGGGCTCTAGTTTCGTTGTGCCATTCGTGTCAGCGGACACGGTAGGGTCGGGGAGGGGGGTGGGGCATGATGCTTAGCCTGGCGGGCCACCAGGCTTATAAAGCGCTGGGGGAAACCCTGCACACAAGGCCTAGTCCACACGTAGCCGGGGTTTTTTAAAAACAAATATCCGCCCCTCCAAAAACTTGCATCCACACCACCGCGTAAAAAAAAAAAAAACTGTCCGCACGTACCCGGATAAATACGTTGTTAAGGACATGCCAGACCTGTAGACGGCAGTACTTCCCCCGTTCTTAACCTCGTCCTTCGTCTGTGGTCTTCCGCAAGGAGCAGTAATTCCGCTTGCAAAAACAAACAAGCAGAAAGCGCTTGGACAATTGATAAAGCGAGCGCAGCTCTGAAGGCTTCCATGATGTCGGCTAGTGTAAACACAGGTCGCACACGTGATGTCAGCATTTTTTTGTCCTGGAAAGTGACGTTGCGGACCTTAAAACTCCGGTTTTGTCTGTCCACACGCAGACACCCAAAACGGAGAAAACGCAGATCTTCACTTTGGCCGGAGTTTTTAAAAAGATCCGTTTTCGTGTGGATGACAGGCCAAAACGTAGGAAAATATCTACGTTTTGGCAGATCCCCAGCTACGTGTGGACAGGGCCCAAATCAGTTTACAAGTACAAAAATCCTTTTGAGACTATTTTCACACCTGACTGATTTGTGCGTACATGGTGCATTTGAATGCTGGGTGGAAGCTGGGAAATCCTAATTTCCTTTGGATTTAGTCTAAACTTGTGTTGACGGGACAAATAAGTTTTTCTGTGGAAAAATATAATATCTCAGGATCCTGTAGTTATAAAAGATACACCAACATTTAATTTTTAATAATCTAAAATAGTTTATTTAGACAAAGGGTTATAACAAATGACTAATAAATGGCTGACTGGAAAAAAGCAGGGTTCAAAAGGAGAGAAGGCATGAGAAGATAGTACAGAGTCATGGGGCGCTTAAGTCACGCACATCTACTGTCGGACCCCGGAAGAATGAAAAAATTAATGCAAGTCAATGGGACTAAAAATGCTCATTTCTAATTCCACTTGTTATGTGCCACGGATTTCACATACGATGTCCATGAATTTTAAAGAAGCATTTTGATACCAAGAACTCGCTTATTTTCGCACGAGGGGAAGCGCTATTTTAGGTTTAGTGTGAAAATAAGTCCAGGACTACAAATGCGCTTCACAAAAGTGATGTCATCAAACCAGAAACAGAGAAAAACAGAGGGAAAATGGCTGTAAGTTCAGCGAACTTCAAATCCTTCCTTCAGGAGAAAAGAACCACCAATCTGGTCATTTGGTAAGTAGCAAATACGCTAGAGGAGAGGAGATTATGTGGTGACAGCATATATGGGATGTGCTGATGTAGTCATGCTAATTACGAGTTTTTACAAGCTGATAAATCTCAAAGTACGTGACAGGCGCGGTGGAAACACCCATCATTAGTTTTCATTTAAATTGCAGTACAAGATATATGTGATCCAGGGCGTAAGGCAAAGCAGATTAGAAAACAGCTTTTAGCCCCGTTGACTTGCATTAATTTTTGCTTTCTTCTGGGGACTCACAAGCCGACCGGAGACTTAGGCTCCCTATGGTGATCTTTCCTCTGAAGTAAGTTAAACCTGCACACTTTGCAGTCTGGTTATGATGAGAGAGCTATTACTTTAGACCATTTCAGACGTTTTACAGGACTGACAGATTGATACACTGTCCCCATTTCTGTGTTAGCAGGCGCTAATGGCTGTGTGAGCTAAGGTACGTTAGCCATTACAAGCTGTTGTGAACATAGGTATGAATAGAGAATAATGTTTGTGCTCTGTAAGATGAACAGATGATTTAGTTGCATCCCCAGACTTGCATTTGAATTTGTTCAGATTACATCAAGGGCAAAAATGCTGCTTAGCATTGTGGTTTTGCTTGGTTAGCTTACAGCCTCTTTAAAATCCACCTAACAAAAATGGTTTTTAATCATTTAGAAACTTCATTGCACAACTCTATTGACATGCCTGTCAAAATGTGTGGTTTTGAATGCATCATAAACTATGATGGACAAAAAATTCACTGAACAAGTCGGACCACAGCTCCCAGCATTCACCAGACAAGGACATGCTTCTCGGGCCTGTTTATGTGTGTGCACAATAACATTGGGGCAGTTTACATATTATTGTGCACACGCATAAACTGGCCCAAGAGCCACTTCCTTGTCTGGGGACAGTGTGTCAATCTTTCAGACCTATAAAACGACTGAAATGGTCTAAAATAATAGCTGTCTCATTAAAGCCTGACTGCAAAGCACGCTGGATTTACTACCACTTACTTCAGAGGAAAGATCACCAGGATGCTGCACCATCTTCTTGTGCCTTCTCCTGGTTTGAAGCCTGCTTTTTCCAGACAGAGAATTACTCTGCCATTTATTAGTAATTTCTTTTAAACCTTTGACTGTTTTCATGGTTCATTAACACATATATATCGAAATAAACAATTTTAGAGGATTAAAATTAAATGTAGGTCTATCTTTTATAACGACAGGATCCTGAGATACTCTATTTTTCCACAGAATTTGTGTTTCCCGTCAACACAAGTTTAGACTAATTCCAAAGGAAATTCAAATTTCCCAGCTTCCACCCAGCATTCAAATGCACCATGTACGCACAAATCAGTCAGGTGAGAAAATAGTCTAAAAAGGATTTTTGTACTTGTAAATTGATCTGTGTGTGATGTAGTTTTGTCCGTGTTTACCAGGTGATTTGTATGTGTAGGAGCTGCAGCTACAAACAAAAATGTAAGCACAAGTTACAAATCAAGTGTCACACACACACACACACACACACACACACACACACACACACACACACACACACACACACACACACACACACACACACACACACACACACACACACACACACACACACACACACACACACACACACACACACACACACACACACACACACACACACACACACACACACACACAGACCTTTTGAGACTTTTTTCTCCCCATAGCCATGTGTGTGTCTACCAGAGGCATAAAGCCTCAAACAACAGACTTTTCAGTCTTTTCTAAATAGTTGGCATTTACATTTAAATTTTTTGTAGAGCTTCATTGTAATAGTTACCTGCTGAAGGGTTTGGGATGTGACGATGGTGGTGACGGTGCCTCCCTGCTGCACCACCACTCCCTGCTGATGGCCAGGATACACTGGCTGCCCATGTAGGTAGCTGGCTGTGGGCTCTGTATAGGCCTTTTAACAGAGCACAAATTAGATTTAGCAGAGCTTTTGTAGCGTAGTGTATTGTACATTCAGATAAGCAAATTGTTATTCAAAGACTAGAGCCAAGCACCTGAATGACAGGAGTGCTGGTCTGAGGATATGCAGCAGGGATGCTGTAGATCGTCTGGCATGGTTGACCCTGGTAATAGATGGCCGTCTGAGTCTGAGCTGGTCCCGGAGCTGTGGCGTACTGCTGAGCTGGCTGGGTTTGCACTGCCACAGCCTGCTGGGTACTTGGATCCCAGAGAGTGGTGTAGCTCTGCTGGCCATGCACTTGAGGGGCTGACTGGGTCGGCACCGAGAGAACAGATAGCCCAGCCTCCTGTGTTGCTACAGCTTGCTGGACATACTGCTGAGGGGTGCTGCTGATGAGGTCTGTGGTGGTGATGTGCTGAGAGAGATTAGAGACTGATGTTGTCTGGGGTGTGGAGGATGGAGAGGACACGCTCAGGTCTGAGATATGGCGCTGAGGAGAAGTCTGATCATAGGTAAGGGTTGGTTCAACAGGAGGGGTAGGGAGGAGGACTTTGCCTGCATTAGGGTTGGAGGGGTCCACAAAGGTCTGTATGGGGTACCCAGGAGGGTAGGTGATGAAGCTGGGGCTGGACACATAGGTTAAAGCAGGATCATAAACCATAGTCTGGAGCTGCTGCTGAAGCTGTATCTGCTTCTGAGCTTCCCTCTGGGCGACTTCCAGTTCAAACAGCTTCCTTCGCTCCTCTGTGGACAGCTTATTGCGTTCCTTACCACCAGCTCCCCTCGACATCTTGCTGTTTGATGGGTCAAACCTTAGAAATCCAGAAGCAACTACAGCTGAGTGCCAAAGGTTTACAAATGACAATGGGCTGTGTGGACGGTTTCCACAACATTGTATGATAGGCTGAGAACTCCTACCGTTCATCGGCACGTCGGCTGCTTCTATCATAGGATGAAGGTGGCGGAGACAGGGAGCGCCTTCGTCGCCGCTCAGAACTACGTGGAGTTTTGTCTGAGACTCTGTCCCTGTCCCGTTCTCTGTCTCTGTCCCGATCTCGCTCCCTGTCCCAGTCTCGATCATAATCTCGATCTCTGTCACGTTCTCTATCCTTCTCTCGCTCCCGTTCTCTATCTCGGCTGCCTGAAGTGTGGTGTGGAGTCATGGACGTGTCTCGATCTCGGCTGAGATCTGAGAAAATGTAACTTATTGAAATCAAAACTAAAACATTAAGTAGAAGCTTTGAAAAGATCTTACCTCTTGTTTCCTTTTCCACCTGGCTCTTCTTTGGTATCCTGTATACCTCCTAAATAAGACAAGCCCAACTTAGATTTGAGAAAGCAAAAAAGGATTTTAATAGTTTCTCTAAGATACATGATGATTCTCCACATTTTGGCTCTCAACTAACCTTCAGATCCTTCCAGCTTTCCAGAAGCCTACCAGCCATCCCACTTATGTCTAAGGCACTGAGTTGAGGCTCTTGACTCCTTTCACTTTCCACATCTGAGACGCCCTCCTCTTCATCCTGAGAAGGAGTTCCTATCACTGATGCCTCTACCTGCATTGCTTTGACCTCCAAGACGACTGCAACCTTTGGGGTCTCTGAACTAAAGGCGGCCTCGGTGGTAGATTCACCAAGGTGTAGCTCGCTGCTCGGAGGATGCATCTCTGCCTCTTGAGTCTTTGCAGATGCTGATGGTTGCTCAGCTGGACCATTAGCAGCAATCGTTTGACTGGACTGACCGCTTGATTCAATTTTGTGATTAGATGTTTCTTCTTCCATTTCAGTCTCATCTGGTGTGATCTGGCTGCTCTGCCGTTGTACACCGTCCTGTTCTTCACAAGAAAATTTTAATACCTCGACTTCTTCTGCCTCAGCCACTCTTATGTCTTCCTTAATTTCTGTAGCCTTATTTTCCACATCAAACTCATTTTTGTCTATACTGACCATATTCTCAAGTTGTTGTTGATCGTTTGAATTAGTCTCCATCTTTTCCAGTTTTTCTCCCACAATCTCTTTCACAGACTCCTCCACCGACACTTTAGTTCGGTTTGCTGCTTCTTTCAACCTTTTTCTTTCAGAAAAATCTGCATGAGACTTTTCATCATCGTCCTCCTCTTCCTCCTCGTCCTCCTCTTCTTCCTTCTCGTCAGAGGCTTTGCTAGCATCAGACAGAGCGCTGTCCAGGCTATTTTCACTCACAATTTTAAGGCGTTGGTATACAGCAGGTTTGGAGGTGTCGCTGTCCAGTTCTGGTGCCATTTTGGTGGAGGAACCGTCAGGAATGTTGAGTGGAGTTTGGGCTCGGGAGGTGTTCTCACTGGAGTAGCCATCCATCTCAGCTTGCTGAGGAAGAGTTTTCGTCTGAGCCCACCGCTGAATAAGGGCAAGGACTTTGCTCTCCTCCAGCATGTTCTTGGTAGAGATGGGGAGCACAGCCAGGGTCTTCATAATCTGCAAGAAGGTCAGCTTATACTTAAATGGTAGAAGGTTATCAATTAATCATACAGAACAATAATAATTTTATACCTGAAGGCATTTAATGTATTTTTCAAATTTCACCTCTATTTGCAGCTTGATGTTGTTGGTGCTTTCGCCTTTACCCTCAGAGAGCCCCATGAAGATCCACAACAAAGACAGCCCGTGATGATCTAAGAACTGCTTCAGGCTTGATTGGTTCTGTGTATCCTGTGCAGCACAAAAACATGTCATGCAGTGGAAGAGAAGTATCAACAACGGACACAAATAAGGCATTAACCCCATGGATCATACTTGTATGAGCTTGAGACAGATAAGTTTCTGCTCCATGGTTTCCACTCGGACCATCAGCCTGCAGAGAGACACCACCTGCTTCTCATCATACAGACCCTCTCCATTCTCCAGCAACACCTCGAGTTCCTCATCCACCTGTGAAAAAGGCAGCATGTGGTTACAGGTGTTCTACATGTTCCTTCAAGCTAAATTCAAAGTCTTTTTAAAACCATCCATCAATCCATTTTCATCCGCTTATCCAGAGTCGGGTCGCGGGGGGCAGTAGTCTAAGTCAAAACCATTTATATTAAAATTTTATTCCAATTACACCATCCTACTGACAAAAAAAATAAATAAAACATAATTCTTCAACTTGTGTTCATTTATTTCTCAAAAAAATGTGTACTGCAGTGATTCCCAACCAGGGGTACGCATACCTCTAATGATCTGTGAGCACATTATAGGGGGTATGAAAAAAAATTATATTTCATTACCCAGATGATGACAGCATTTGCTATGCCCCGTAAAAAAACCCACTGGGCTGGGATATGTTATGCTTAATGAATACTCAAAGTAATGCACGGTAAAATGTGTTTTCATCACATTTAGCTTGAATTTTATTTCAATATCTTCATCTTTGCTCATTTTGAGGCTTTTTGTGTGGCATTGTTTGAAGAATGAATCATAACTGCTTCCACTTCAAATCAACCTCTATGGGCTTCTTTGATTGGTTCCATCACATAGCCGGTCATTGATATTGTCCTGCGGGATTCCCTGGAGGTGGGTTCACTGGGGGTGTTTGGGGCTGGGGAGCTGCTGCCCCGCTCTGGAGGTGCTTGGGTTGCCTAGGAGGTTGACTACTGGCGGTTGTGAGTGGGGCCCCTTAGGAGGTCTTGGCGGTGATCATCGGTTGCTGCCTGGTGGCTGCATCATCCCTGAGTGGGTCTGGGTGGGGCCTTAGGGATTGAGTCCTGACTTGTATGCTGCCAGGAAGATGACGAGAACACGTGGCAGTGCCTGGCCCAGGCTCAGGGGCGGGGTGGACAGGAATGCAAGGGGTGGACCATGGCTCCTCTGGTATAATAACAACTCTGTCCCATCACGGGGGAGATGGATGTCCAGGAGGGGGAGGACCCAACCTTACCTGGATGTCTCATGTCTCACATATTCTGGAAGTTGTGCAAATGCAGGGATGGGAGTAGATATTCTGTTGGGTTGGTGCCGTCTGACTCCGTGGGGCTCTGCGATGCTGCTGCTTTGGGCCCTGGTGAGATGGCCTGGGGTCTTCCTGCCCTGGGTGGCATTTTGGGACCGGAGGTGCCTATTGGGGCCAGTGGGGGAGCTGGCACCCTGGAGGCCTTAAGCCAACCAGCCATTCCTCTCCATCCCCACACATTTTTCTCCTCCTGCTCCCTCACATCATCACACAAACATGCACATAGGACCTTGGGGGTGGGCAAGTCAGGGGGTGCGGGTATGGACCCCATATCCGCATTCCTGTGGCAAACTGCCCCCTAATTTTATTTGCACCTTAAACACTTCCACTGACGACATTCCACACAAACACGCACTTAGAGCCTTGGGAGTGAGCACATTCAACAGCATTTGCCAAGGGGATCTTTCAGCCTCATCTTGAGTTAATTGAATGGTGTTTCTCTGCTATGTGGAGACACCAAAACACCTCTCCTGCTCTTGGCGGCTAGCAGTGGCTTTGTGGCTAACACAACACATATGGGACTTTACGAGTTAATGCGCATTGACACAATACTTATTTTTTTCTTGCATAACATACAATATGCCTCCCTTACATTCTCCTCAACTGGCTGCAGCCCCTCTTTGAAGTCCAGAATGTCCAGCCAGGACGCTGCAAATTTGCACTTTTTTTTTTTTTTTACTTTTGCCCCACCCTGGAGCTCTGAGAGGAAAATTACTAACACTCACAATATCCAGTTCACTTTTTAAACAGAAATTACTAAATGCACACACTTTTACGATGTTTTTGGGATTCAAACTGGATGGCTATCTCAGGAAAAAAATAATAATCAACATTTAAGACAGTGATAAAATTGATTTATCATCTTAATTCTTTTCAATACTCCACAGACACCCTGCTGTAGCATAAGAAAGATGCCTCAAGAACATGTTAAAATAAAAAAGAAGAACATGTTAAAAACAGACACCCCCCCCCCCCCCATTTTTATTGAAGTGGTTCAAGTCTAAATTGTTCAACGTTGATGTCAAAGCCATTTCAAACAAGTGCCACTCCTGAGTCACTATTATCTTTTTAGCATTTCTCCGTCACAACTCTAGAGTTAAACCTGCCTAACAAACGTAGTGTTGTGAATGACATGAAATAAAAGTGTTCGAAGCAATGGTAGACCAGCGCTTTCAGATTTTTAAATGTAAAGCGTGGTACTAATGAAATGTATTATTATTATTATTATTATTACCTGCTGAGGCTACAGTGGGGCATGGCTACACAGACCTGTAGAGCAAAATCATTTTGATATTGTTGTGGTTGGTCTAGATTCCTAGGCTATAATAAACCTTGAAGACACAATAAAGAGCAGCTGGTGAATAAACACTTTTTTTTAATTATTGTTTTAAAATATGTTAAATAGATAAAAACCAAGACACCCTGCAGATAAAACTGACCGTGGTGAGAGCACTCTTTCGATTGCGATCTTTCTTCATCTTCCCCCCTGCCGCTCGAACGCTGACTCTGTTCTCCCCACCAAGGAAGCCTCTGCAGCTGGGCGCCCCACAGAAACATTTCTGTGCTTCTTTTCTGCGGGAAAAGGTTAAAAAATAATAATAATAATAATTAAAATACAGCAAATGTCCTTTTAAAACGACAAACTAATTTGAATGATTTTGCTGGTGTGATCAGTGTGTGATCATGCAAAAAAATAAATGCATAGACAATATCTGTAACAGTGAAACAGTACCCGTATCTCTGAAACTGGTAGTCAAACGTCAGTTCATTTCCTGCAGTGACAGTCTTGGTGGTGAAGAACCCAACTCGAAGCTGACCATTAACAGTCCACTGAAAGAAGGTTAAACGATAGCTTTACGTGACTGAACTCTCAGGAAGAACTCAAAAACACAAGAGGTTGCTTTGCCATTCGTACCTTTTGGGTCTCACAATTGGGCTCACAGCTGTGGTTCATGAATCGAGAGCAATTTCCCTTCAGTGTTGCATCAATAATCTGCAGAGACATTATAAATATTTCCACCATTCTCTAATCCAGAATAAGATAGATTTTACCCAAACATTGCTAATTCATTTGAACACAAAGTCTTTATTTACCTCATTATTCTTCAGAGCCATAAAATAGTAGTGAATGTTCTTGTTGCGAGCATATTCTTTAACCCTCGTTTTGAACTCTTTGTGGTCCAACACCTCTCCACAGTATTCCAGGACAAATGTGTTTCTAGGGGTACAAAAAAGATAAACTTAAAAATTGCTTTCCTTCTTTTAAATGACTACAGGTAACACAAAATCCAGATTTTTTTTGTTGACAATGCAAATTCCATACGGAGGTAAATCTTTAGCTGCACGCAGCCCCCAGCCTTTATCTTCTGTGAGGATAACCTCAAAGTCTGCGTGCTGTTTCATCTGGAAGCGGCGGTTAGAACAGTACAATCCGTTGAAGCATCGCGATGAGCTTGAAAAGACAAAACCAATGAAAAAAATCAATTTTTGATTTATTCCAAGACACTGAAGAAAAGGTTATCATGTAGGAATTCAGTATTCACATACTCTTTTGACATGTACCATCTAAAATGTGACTCATTATCTGTTCAATCAAAATAAAATAAGAGTGCACACAATACAAGCAGTATTCATTTGTTATCCGAGCAATCTTTATCATAGTAAAAATTTCCATGTTAAATATTTTTAAAAGGTAAATTCCACTCCTAGGTGAAATGTTGTCTTTTATCATTTTTCCTCGAGTTACAAAGTGGGAAAAAGCATTTTGGAACCAGCCCAGTCATTCTCTTAATCTGGCAGTATTTAACTCCTTGTAATTCCTTTGTTACTTACCATTTTAATTTGCAGTCTATAGGACTAGAAACATTACAAAGCTATCTTCATGACTTCTTTAAATGAAATAGAATAGAATAGACTTTATTGATCCCCCACTGGGGAGATTCACTTGCTACAGCATACATGCACTTAGAGAAATAATAAGATTACAGGTAAACACACAAAGACAATAAGCTATTATTGTAACTTTCAACCAGTAAAACAACGGGGGGGTGGGGTGGGGGGTGGGGGGGGGGGAGGAAGCTCATGTTTCCAGAACTATGCAGCATAAAGGACACAGAAATACTAATGTTCATCTGGTATTGCACAAGTATTTAAAACATACTAAATATTGCATTGATGGTATTGTGCAACAAGATAATACCAGTACACTCTTACTGCAGAGGGGATGAATAACCTACGGTAGCGTTTGACTTTGCATCTTGGATGTCTCATCCATCTGCAGAGCTGGCAGAAAAGAAATGTTGTGACACTCCCAATTTATATTTCTGAGATCATCACGCAGACAAATTAGCTCCAAGGCAAGACAAGGCAGGTTTATTCGTACCTCAGGAAGAACTTATCTCCTAAAGATTTTGCTCAAGGCCTTTTGATGCCTCTGCATATAAAATCTTTTAACTAGCTATTTGCCTCCCCCTACAGCTCAAGAGAAGAAAGAAGATCAAAACTATTTTCTTCTATTAAATAATGGCCAAATACCTGTGTTAGTCCAAATAATCATGTAAAGCTCAATATTAAATAAATCTGTGAAATGAGAATATTAATTACTTGATATTATAATCCTATGATAGTATTTTAATAAGTAATATAACTTTTAAACTACACACTAGACTGATCACATGTAATGTTAATCACATGACACATTCCTTTGTCTCTCCAATCAGAGCTTTCCTTTCGACGCGTGGCATGATCTGTGCAGTGTTTCTACAGGGAGTGCAGAATTATTAGGCAAATGAGTATTTTGTCCACATCATCCTCTTCATGCATGTTTTCTTACTCCAAGCTGTATAGGCTCGAAAGCCTACTACCAGTTAAGCATATTAGGTGATGTGCATCTCTGTAATGAGAAGGGGTGTGGTCTAATGACATCAACACCCTATATCAGGTGTGCATAATTATTAGGCAACTTCCTTTCCTTTGGCAAAATGGGTCAAAAGAAGGACTTGACAGGCTCAGAAAGGTCAAAAATAGTGAGATATCTTGCAGAGGGAGGCAGCAGTCTTAAAATTGCAAAGCTTCTGAAGCGTGATCATCGAACAATCAAGTGTTTCATTCAAAATAGTCAACAGGGTCGCAAGAAGCGTGTGGACAAACCAAAGCGCAAAATAACTGCCCATGAACTGAGAAAAGTCAAGCGTGCAGCTGCCAAGATGCCACTTGCCACCAGTTTGGCCATATTTCAGAGCTGCAACATCACTGGAGTGCCCAAAAGCACAAGGTGTGCAATACTCAGAGACATGGCCAAGGTAAGAAAGGCTGAAAGACGACCACCACTGAACAAGACACACAAGCTGAAACGTCAAGACTGGGCCAAGAAATATCTCAAGACTGGTTTTTCTAAGGTTTTATGGACTGATGAAATGAGAGTCTTGATGGGCCAGATGGATGGGCCCGTGGCTGGATTGGTAAAGGGCAGAGAGCTCCAGTTCGACTCAGGCGCCAGCAAGGTGGAGTACTGGTTTGGGCTGGTATCATCAAAGATGAGCTTGTGGGGCCTTTTCGGGTTGAGGATGGAGTCAAGCTCAACTCCCAGTCCTACTGCCAGTTTCTGGAAGACACCTTCTTCAAGCAGTGGTACAGGAAGAAGTCTGCATCCTTCAAGAAAAACATGATTTTCATGCGGGACAATGCTCAATCACACGCGTCCAAGTACTCCACAGTGTGGCTGGCAAGAAAGGGTATAAAAGAAGAAAAACTAATGACATGGCCTCCTTGTTCACCTGATCTGAACCCCATTGAGAACCTGTGGACCATCATCAAATGTGAGATTTACAAGGAGGGAAAACAGTACGAGTGTCCTTGCAAAGAAAGGTGGCTATACTGGTCGCTGATTTGTTTTTGTATTGTTTTTGAATGTCAGAAATGTATATTTGTGAATGTGGAGATGTTATATTGGTTTCACTGGTAAAAATAAATAATTGAAATGGGTATATATTTGTTTTTTGTTAAGTAGCCTAATAATTATGCACAGTAATAGTCACTTGCACACACAGATATCCCCCTAAAATAGCTAAAACTAAAAACAAACTAAAAACTACTTCCAAAAACATTCAGCTTTGATATTAATCAGATCTTTTGGGTTCATTGACAACATGGTTGTTGTTCAATAATGAAATTATTTCTCAAAAATAAAAACCTGTTGCAAGATCCACCTGACGCAACGCTCCTTCAGAGTAAAAGCTGAACTCACGACCCTTCAGGGTCCCGCTGACGCTGTAAACCAACTGCCACTTACCTGGGGGCATTCCAAGACTAGTCGGTCGTACTGTACGCTGTTTCACTGGCTTCGGTACCAAAGAGGGGTTAGAGAACCTGGCATTCTGGATCTGCAACGGAGGTCTCCACAAGGGTATGTTGCTCGGCAAGATAGCATCTGAATGTGGTTTTTGAAACTCCGACTATAGTTTAGAGCAAAACATTGGCTCCCACACAGAACTAAGGCTTCTCCGGAAACGAGAGTTCTAATAACAACATTCCACATTTACACCATCCATTTTGCCTCATTCACAACTAGATCCATTCATCACATAGTGTTTAAAGTTAGAGTTAGCGTTGTTTTAAATTGTTCAGAAATAAATCTTCTTAAACTTTAAAACTTGTCTCTCTTTTTGACTCTGGGTTATTACGAAGTGTTACCTAATCCCTGCAATAAAAAGTTCCGATCTTCTGGTTAAAGATATGTATTCAAAGATACATCAAATTGATTTCATATTTTCTATGGAATCTCACCTTCGATGGTTTCCTACATAAGATGTAACTATTGATACACTACATATTTGGCGAGCCTTAAGCCCATTTATTTGTACATTTTGACACTTCGTGTTGACTTTGAGTCATTTTAACTATCAAAACACTCAAAATTTATTTAAAATTTGATGTTTCTGGTTGAAATGAGGCGATATTATCAGCCACTAGAGTGCAGTCGACCTCCATTTAACTTACTAAAAGGAGGTGACACCAGTCACCTCTTACATGGGGAGCTGTATAATCTCTTCACCTAAGCCTGACTCATCATTATTTTTATATTTTATGTCTTTTCTGAGTGCATTTGTGAGCACTGTGTACAATTCTTGTGTAACTGGAGTTTTCTCCCGGAGGCTTAGCTCCCCCAGTCGCCGTTTGATCCACGGTGACCGGCTGATGGAGGGGACCCTAATGGGCCATTTCCATCTGTACCGGGTTGGCCCGGGCCGGGTAGCGTAGGTTGTTTACAGATCTGGGTGGCCTGGTATTTTTCCGGGCCAGCCAAGGCTCATTCTCAGCCCTCTTCTCGAGGGGGTCTGCTTCAGGCCGACCAGGGCCAACACACCCACTGCTGACAGCAAATTCACACCTTCCATTAGAGAAAGCCTCTGATTGGTGGGTAGAATCAGCCCACATGGGCTTAAGGCAAGGATGTGTGGAATCAACCGAGCCAGGCTGGGGCCGACTGGGGCTACCCGGCCCGGGCCGACCCGGTACAGATGGGAATGGCCCATAAGTCACCACGACTCGGTCGCGATAAACATCGTGTTTCTTTTAAAGAAAAAGGGGGTTCATCATACTCCTCCAGGAGAGAGTTGCCTCGCTCAGGCAAGAGCCGCGCTCCTTCTGGCCGAGACTCACCGCGTAGTGCTCGCAAGGAAAACAGTCCTGCCCCAAGGCCGAGAACTGATTCTGGGAGCCGATCTCCTGGAAAAATTCAAGCTCTGGGGCCGCACTTCTTGACCTGTTGAAAGATTCGACAGAATGTGAGTCAGTTCTGTGCATCTCTGCAATAGAACCTCCTCAACCTGCCTGTGGCTCGGTTGTGGAAGCAGGTCCTGCAGAGGCGGAGCCTGCCACAACGGTGCATACACTGACACCTGAGACCTCGGCGAGGTCTGGTGTGTTCACTTACATCAGAGCTAGTCCTCTAGCACCCACGGAACCTGCCACCGGACCTGTCCAGCCTAGCTCACCATCCAGACTTCCACGAAGGGTTCGCTGCAGTATCATCCGTAAAGGTCCTACTGATAAACCTCACATTCCGGTGACCCTGGAGGGGATGCTGGACTGTGAAGATGTCTTGGACTCCGGTTCGGATTTCACCATCATGTCCAGCTCTCTCTGGGAGCAGGGCCGCATGGCTGCAGCTGCACAGGATCGCATCTTAGGACTCACGCCCTGCGCTGTGGGCATCCATCCTTACTTGACAGACCAAATGAACTTGTCAAACATGGTGTCCATCAACTTCACAGTGGGAGACATGTCCGTGAGCCATCCAGTGTTTCTAAATAACGTTGAATCATTTCCATTCCTGTTGGGAGTGGACCTGTTCCAACGCTTCGAAGCTGAAATTTCATTCGGTGATTGGACACTCCGAACTCGGCTGACTCAACCGGCGCCCTTGGGGTCTCGAGGACCTCATTCCCTCTT